AGCTTTGTCTATAAAATTCATATACGTTGTCTGTGGTCTTTTTATATAGGTTCGAGAAAAATACCTATCAATGACCAAAAAGTTAAGGGGGTGTGTCCCTGTAGAGGTTGATTCAGGTTAGGGATAAGGCCTGAGTACTGAGTTTTACCCCCTGTTCATGTCAGAATTTAGTTCAATGAATGTCTCAAGGCAGGAAGAACACAGCCCACAACCTTTAAGGTTTTCAGTGAGTGTCATATCTTTCACTTTACCTTTCCCAGAGACCACTCACTCTGGTATACATGAACATGGCTTTGGTTGATGAAAGGCTTTGCTGATTTCCTTAGGGAAAGCTACAGTAGATCCCTAACCTCCCTCTTTGACAGGCCATTTCCATTTCCTTCTTCACTACACAATGAACTATCAGCACAGCCTTCCTCTTTCCCTGTTCTATGGCAGCTCCATATTCTACATCCTGATCCGATATCTGTTGAAGCCATATCAGCCTTGCCTCCCTAACTTTGCCTAGCATATGGTCAACGCTCATCTTGGTCAATCCCAGTCTATTGCTGAACACCTTCTGTTCTGCTACCTCCACTTCCAACTTCTGCCTTCTTGTTGGTTCCATGAACCACGAATTGAAGTTGGTCTCATTACCACCTTGTAAACTTTACCTTTCTTTCTTGCTGTTCATCCACTCTCACATTAACTGTCCATTGCTACGGACAGTAAACCCCCAAGTACTTAAGATCATTCACTTTCAGTACAGTTTACCCTCAATATCAATGAGTATTAGGAACTACAGCCACTCACGAAGAATCCCTACAAAAATGATTATAACTGGCTAATGTATTAGTTCAAACACAATATATCTTGATATGCATTACTACGCACAGTGGAAATTGCTGTGACACTACAGCAGAATCCAACAACCACAGTCTTCCGTATCTCCACTCCTGGGTTACAGCCAATCAGGATGAAGGAAAATGAAAGACACTCCTAGATTGGCTGCTTTGTTAACAGCAGTTAAGAGCTTCTCAGGTAGTATCGCACCAAGGTATGTCGCAAACAGGCGGACTTTCCGAGAATAGCATTCCAGTTCCTCTCTCTTTAGCATCTGCAAACACTATAGTTTACTGAATGTACATCACCACTGCAAAGTCATGGATTATCTCATCTTGAACCAATGTTATTTCCTTATGTATTTAGTTATTTTGCACTTGAGTCTTGTTTCAGTCTCAACCTTTTTGCTACCAGTTTCTCTGTAATAAAAAGTACAATTGGTGTCTAAATCTTACTTGTATTGGTTTGCTCTATATCTTTTTTGGCTTAACACATTATTTTTTGTAATTATTGTAAGAGCCAACCAAATGAAAATCAGTTGTAACATTTTGCTTTGAACAATGCTTTGCAATCTGTTTGCCGTTACCTGTTCAACTTAGCTTCAAAAAGCTAGCTACAGGCTTTAACTGTAGCTTTAGATACATGCTTAATTCATAAAAAAACGCTTCGAGCATGTTTTAGAAAAGCCATAAGACCTGATCAATAATTCAAAGAAATCTATTCCAACAGAACATCTCCATTAGATCAACAATACATAGAACTTAACACAGAGAATCGATGAAAAGGGCTCATGTTCCTCCAGTAATGCATGTCTCTACTGTCGGTCAGAACACACAACATCCATTACACAGTGATGCTAAAGATGGAACTCTCTTCAAGGTTAGCCTCTCCTGGTTGTGATGCTGGTGCAGTACATCTGGTAGTGGTGTACTCTAACTCTAATACTATCACAGCAGTAAAAACTGCCAACACAGAGGAGACGCCCACGTTCTTCTGCCTCCCCTCCTTTTCATCCTTCACTCACAGAACAAGTGCTGCAGCCTAAACAGAGGAGAGTGCCTTACAGAGACGCTCACAGGCAGAAATATCCATGCTGACAGAGAGGTTTATACAGGTCACCTTGGTAACCAAAGGTCACCACACACTGAATGTAATACCGTCATATATATATCGGCCGGGGGGTAAATTGCACAACTGTGCAGTATCAATACATGAAAAATAATTATTAAATCTGCTTTCAAGCATAAAGATGATAGAAGGTTATAGGAGATGCATCTTATTAAGTCTTTTCTCTAAATCAACTAATATTGCGAATCCAACTGCTTGTTGAACTTTTAACTGAACTCTTTGTTGATGGACACAAACACTGATGCCAGAACACTGGTTTGAAATGAAAGACCCTAAACACTTTCCTTAAATTAGATTTTTTTTAAAAACAAACAAAAAAAAAACATAAGTACAATAACATATGTATTTTTTAATTTTCAAGAACAACATAGCAGGTGCTGTAGCTCCTTTTCATAGCATGAAGCAAATCCTTGTTTGAAAAATCTGTTTACATCCCCAACCTACTCAACAGATGTGACTAACAGGTGCCACACAACACAAAAACTAGTGTCAACGGATTTAATGCATCTCTTCGTTCACAAATCAGGCAAAAACATAAGGTTGTGTGGGAAGACCCCTGGCTAGAAAATGACCTCGACAACAGAGGGTTGGGAAGCAGCCCAGACATGGGCAGAGATGCGTTTAGTCACAAAGGAAGAACTCCAATGCTTACTTCCTGATGCACGGAGGCGCTGAAGCCTAAAGTCTCACTGAAACTAATCATCGTGGCATTCAGTTTGATTAAACATGAAAGCATTTACTTTTATCACACATACAGCAGCTATGGAACTCTAAACTTGCCAATCTCTTAGGGTTTTATGAAGCTCTGCCCGTTTTTTCTATTAATCAGTAAATGAAATGTCAGAGCTTTGTTTTGATAGCCTGACAGTATGAGCCTGAGACAATATGAGAAACTCATAGCTTCCCTGTGTTTAGCAGCTGCCAGCAAAAAATGTGTAGGTGCAATTTAGAGGTGTGCACACTTCTTTATTAAGAGCCCTAATCAAGCTGTGAATGTAGTGTGTCCCGCTTTGCATGAGAAAGCAAGAAATTTCTGGGTTGAACACAAATGTTAACTCTTGACACTTGCAAAAAAACACAATTACTCTAAAAAGGTTTAATCATTTACTTTAATATGTGTCTTATTTGAATTTTATGTATGTCATTCCTAATTTGATGTACTTCTTTATTACGTACTGGCTATAACTAAAGAAAATGTATATTCTCCTCTTCCAAAATAAAAAAACATATTTTGGAAGAACAGAACCAACATAACTGGGTTTTCCTATTTTATTTCTCAATCTTCATGCTTCACAAAGTGAAAAATATTCTTCTGTCTGATGTCACACCTCAGATGATTAGCCATCGTGTTTTCTTACAAAGCAAGACACATCAAAAGGCATATGCTAAGAAAAATCTATAGAAATACAAAAAGTTATTCAGTGACGAGAAAAGAAAGGAGTCAATGAAGGAATAAATGCAGTTTATACAGGAGGCTTAGTACAGTTCAGTTAGAAGAAATAGAAACCAAAAGCCAAAAAGGTGTGGGTTATATCTCCATTTATTAGCAGAAGGTGCAGGCCGAGAACACAGACAGGCACGTCTATAAAAAGGGTCGGTTTGATAATTTGGAACATAAAACCATTCTGGAAATAAACTTTTAAAGCACACAGACAAACTTATACCACTTTCATACCAGATGATCAATATTGTGCAAATGTGACACATGTGGCAGTAGCATCATGTTAGCATGGCCAGTAGCTAAAGCTGCAGGGAAATGGAAAACCATGTGGAAAAACCTACTTCCTAAACATGGGGAGCGTACCAGAATCATTGTCTTCCCACATACAGAAGTTCTTCTAAATCTGATGCACTGCAGTGATGTTCGAATTGATTAAAGCAAAGTAAAAAAATAAAAAAAATCATAACTGACACAAAACCAAAGTTCTACTTTAGTTCTGTGTTTGTATCTTACCGTGATCTCTGCAAACATCTCATTGAACTTAAGCATATAGCAGTCATTTCCTGATCATGTAAAACCACAGGAATGTCAGAGATGTGCGTACACTGAAAATGGAAGGGAAATATCAAGTTTCTGCTTAGCTAGCTATTAAAGCTAAGTAAATAAAGGTGTAATGGTAATACAATAACATGGTATAATTCATAAAAGTGTCACAAAAAGGGCTAACCAGTTGTTATCAGCATGGGATATTGTCTGGTAAAGGCTTCGTGAGTGAGTATTATGTGAGAATGATGCTACTAGCTAACTGCTAACAAGCTAAAGTTAGCATGTGCTTCAGAGTGCCAACTATCGGGCCACTGTAATGCATTTTAGGACTTTTCCACAAGTGCCTAGCAACACAGCTCAACTTAGCTCAACATTTTAGTTTTAGTTAAGGTGGTTTATTGAACATTCTGTTGAGTCTGCCATTGTCCTTAAAAACTCCAGTCATGCCCGTTCACTGTTATTTTTGACTCAGAACAGCGACTGTTGTATTGCAAGCCTTAATTAGCCTAGTGAGCCCTAGTGAAGTATGTTCTAAACGGGGGCCGGTACCATGAAATCGTAGTGAAAAACCCTTACAAGCACATAGAACCAAGTCGAGCCATGCTAGTTGTAGGCGCTAGTGTAAAAGACCCATAAAGTACTGAAAACCTTTATGTTTGTGAAAACTAAGAAACGAGAACTTGTCAGTATTTTTTTTTTCTTTTTTTCATTTTAAAATAATACAAACATAAAAGCTAGGGCAAGCCAACCGTTGGATTATTCTACACTAAACACAGATTTTTTTTTTTTTGGTGGGGGGGGGGGGGGCTTTCTGAAAGATTTACCCTACTTGTAAAAATAAAAACTGGTATCTGCAGTTTTTCCAAAAAATCATGTTAAAATTTCATGTTGCATCACTCCTGTGAACCTGATACCATGTATTGTCCTGTTTTATAAGACGAACGTTTCGTTCTAACCCAAGGTGTTAGTCATGGGCTGATTAGTCTGGCCCAGTGGAGGGAACCGGATTGCATGATCCAGTTCTCTGTCTATTATTCAGGGTGAGGTGGATTTGGAAAGAACACGAGTTTAAAGAAGTACTTCTCATCTCCTCAGAGGGAACACCCCAAATCCATAGGACTACCCTTAATCTGTGCTGGTATTTTCTCAGAGAAAAGGACAAAGTAGTTTTTATTTAAAGCGTTCAGCGCCACCATACCAGATTATGTGTCCATCTAATGAGTGAAGCCCATTCTGCTTGCGAACTACTACTTATAGTCTGCAGAAGAAGTTTTGAGGCTAACAAAATCAGCATTTATTTGCTACAATTGTTTTAAATGAGACCAGTTAAAAACCTGAAAAGTTGCTACCTTTGGGTTAAAACCAGTCTAAGTGGGACGCATCACTCACGGGTGAAATGGAGGAAGAGACGGAAGAAAAACAAACAGTCCTTAGGTAAGTGAACATATCGTCATGTTGGAGTGTGAGTGTGTGTGCTGGTGTTGACGTGTCGACAGACTGGCCTCGCAGCGCCGGCGACTCACTTTGATCTGTATCAGACAGAGAGAGAGAGGGAGAGCGCTGCATGGTGTGTGTCTGCGCCTCGGAGACGGGGTGTGTGAGGACGTGAACTTCTGAACTCGATGTCTGCCTGATCTTTATTTCTTTCTGCCACATTAAGCTTTGAAGTCAAACTGAACAAAGTGGATGTTTTTTTATTATTATTATTTTAGCTCAGACTTACGATGGAAAATATTGTAATATATATATATTTTTAACAAATGTGATTATGCACACATCCCCGAATCAGCAGAGTGCCGAGGGCTGATTAGTCTGGCCCAGCGGAGGGAACCGGATTGCGTCGCAGCAGTATTTGGTGGAACTCAGCGTACAGAACTCAGTCCAACTACAAAATCCTGCCCCTCATCCTCAGACCTTCCCCATTCTGCAGCATGAAGGAGGCGTGTATCAGACAACTAGTGTGTGTGTGTGTGTGTGTGTGTGTGTGTGTGTGTGTGTGTGTGTGTGGGTCTGTTCTGCACAGGAAGAGAGGAGGGGAGGTGCACAGAAGCAGAAGCGGAGCCGACAGGCAGTCATCGGGCCGATGGAGAAGAGTTTTAGTCCTCTGAAGCATGGTGTCGAGGAAGGAGCACAAGAAGAGAAAATAATGTGATGGAGGGAGGAGGGGAGAGGGAGGGGTGTGAGTGATGTTGAAAGAATAAAATGGAAGCAGTTCAGACAAAAATATGATGTGGAAGGAAGAAATAGGAGTATGCGAAAAAAAAAAGAACAATGAGAAGAAGGAATAAGAGGGAAAGGAAGACAGCAGGTTAGTAGCAGAATCAAACGTAAACAGCTCATTTCTTGTTCATAAACACAAATCCATGCTTTGAAATCTGCATTAAAAGCCATGCAGAAACATCGCGCATGCTGCATCCATGCACAGGAAACACTTATGCATGCACATGCATCTATATTTGCTCCGTCAGGATTGGGTTTATGCTCTTGATTCCGTGGCCTAGTTACTACTTTTAACTTTTGCCACCCAACTGCATTCCGTCTCTGGGGACGGCTGCAGCCACAGTGATGAATGCAGCCAGTGCACCGATAGGCCAGATGTTCCAATCTAGTCAAGGAAAAGAGAAAAGAAAGGAGGAGGCAAAGACACACAGCCCTTCTCCTGCTCCTCAGCACCCAGACGGAGCTTCAGCTGGATGCATGCAAAGGAACTAAATGACCTAGCAAAGCCATGCAAACATGCAGATGCATGCAGATGACTTCCAGCTGATCCACAGAGATGCTGGCTCCTCCCTTCGTCAACAGCATTCACCCACAGAAAGGATTCTGGTCATCTCACACCCTCTGGATCTGGATGCGGTGATCAGGTTTGGAAAAAGTTTTGATCGAATCTCAAAGTCTAAGGGAACTAATCCTTAGTCAGAAAACATTTCAACAAGGATGAAGTCAAAATGAGAAAGCTGTGTTGGGAGAAACTAAGGGTGTTTCCACTCCTTATAGTTAGTAGCCTCGAATTGATTGGGGACCAAAATTACTATATTTGTTACATTTTCAGCTGGTGCGATTCTTTTTCACACTGTCAGTCAAACAAACCAAACCCTTTGAAAATCTGTTTTCCCTCCTCGCCTGTGGTGGCGCTGCATCAAGAACCACTGAAGGAAACGACATGAAAACCTCTAAAGAAGACTCAGAGTGCAACTTCCTTCTTCACCAAATGAAAACAAAAATGGAGTGGCACCAGTGTTTGTGATTGGAGGATTTCTGGATGTTAAAGGGATTAAGGGGTTTGGATAGTTTGCATGGCAATATTGACCATTATTACCACAGCAAGATTCTCCAGTCCAGGCCTAAATCGAACCCTGATCCTATGGTGAATTAATGTTTTCAGTCCTTATTTATATAATCTTTCTAGGATAGTTTCCAAAACCTGTGTCTACATGAGCAAAGCTGACAAAAATATGCCCTAGAAGACTAAAAATCAACACTTTTCAGGCTTTCCGTTTAGGTATGATCATGAAAACCATTTTCCCTTCCTGCTCACAATGACACAATCACTAATTTATGTTAGTTTTTCATAAAAACATATCCCAATGACAAACACTCATGTCTGGGTTTAATTTAACAAAACATGTAGAAGCTTCAGGAGTGAAGATGTTTCATGGCCAAATGTGGCAGTCTGGCAGTCAGAAGGCGACCTTCTTCACATGTCGAAGTTCCATTAGACAATGCATGCCCATCTGCATGGTGAGTATGCGTGGGCGCTTGTAAGTAGGGGTGCACAGATTGCAGTTTTCTGACTGATCAACAATCTTTAAAAAGTCTGATTTTGGCCAATACCAATTTCTTTTGTCCATACAGACAAATATGAGACTCATTTGCGAAGCACATCCACATAAGATCGGTGGATGTGATCTGTTTCTCATGTAAATATCAGCTGATCACTGATCTCCCAAAATTAAGGAAATTACAACAAGTTCATCAGTATATCCTTCCCTGTGAATACCAATGTTTAAATGCCATGTATAGTAAAAGTCTAAAAGCATTAACAGATATTAAAAAAAGATATATCAGCCAAATTAAATGGAAATCAAATAAAAATATCAGCCAACCCTTGCAGGATCTTATTTTCGGCCTTATTCTTGCTCTGACGGGATGACCAATTCCCAAATGTTGGAAAACTTAAAGAGGAGCCCTTAAAGGATGCTGGGAAACACTGAGAGCAGCTCACACTCTGTTCTGAATGGAAACTCCAAAACAAAGGACACAAATACACAAAAAACATGCAAAATCAAACTGAGGTTACAGACGAGAAGGGAACAAAGAAGAGAAAAGAAGAAAAGACTAAAAGGCCAGGACTGGTCAATGAGGAGAACCAGGCAGCTCTAGCAAAGTGATCGACAGCAGATGGAATTGTGGGAATTGTTGTTTCTTACCAGGCTTTTGAACCCCATGAGCCTCCTGCTCTCCATTCTCCAAAGCAGCCCCAGCGTCTGCACACACAGTCACATACACACAGAAACAAGCAAGCTCATTACTGTCCGTCTGGCTACTAATGGCTTCCCCGAACACATAATGGAACCGGACACGATTCGTTCAGTGTGAGAGCAAGCTGGAGGATTTTGCTGCTAGTGCCGCGGCTGGTCGGACCGCACCAACTTCAAGCTCCAATTTGTCAGCTCCTCGCATCAACAAAAGCAAACTGTGATGGAAATGTTATTTTAAGACTCTCTTTAAAGAGTAGACCTAAAATTAATGGTACATATACTGTGTGAAACTCCAAACTGAACAAATGAAAACTATTGTTAAATGTGAAAAGCACAGCTTAAGACGATGTTCATAAACATTACAAACAATGCGCGTCGCCATATTGGAATCACAACTTCTCCAACTGTCAGGGGCACAACTACATACTTTCTGAGGTGTAAAAGAACCCATCACCTCCCTCACCCCAACACCCACCCCGTCCCTCTCATGACCCAGGTTTAATATGTCCATGCAGTTCTCCCTTATTCATGCACTTATAAAATACAGTAACTTTATTATAGACTTTCTCCAGCAGAATTTCAACTGGGCCAGTCCGAATATGGATGGAGAAGTTGTGAACGACGACATCTGTCCGCCTGCAGTTTTAGCAATGGCAACGGAGGAAGTGTGAAGCTGTTCAGTCTGTTTGGCACTTCTCCCTTTGAAATGGGAGGTGGTTGTTTGCAACACTTCCGGTAAGCTTCATCGCCTCCACAAGGTTTGCTTGTACATCACGGGCAAATGTTAGATATTGGGTAAAGTTTAAAGCTTTAACAGAGTCCACACCTCCAGAGAAACGATATTGAGAAACGTTTCTGAATATTTTTTAGCACTTGGAATTCATTCAATTTGTTTACTAAAGATCTCATTTTACCGCTTACGTGTAGCAAAAGGAATAGTTTAAATTTCTTCCTTTTCTGTGTTCCTGCTCTACATTCATGATGCCTCCTTTTAAACCTATCTCAGAATTTAAGGTTTAAAGGTATTTGAAACTTTGTTATATTAATCAGCCATTTAAAAATATAGTATTAAAATTCAAAATTACTTTATTGATCCCAAAGGGAAATTAAATGTTGTAACTAATTGATTCAGATTCTTTAGTTATTGTAGATTGTGATGTCATTACTAGGGAGTTGGTTGGATGAACAAAATCCTGCCTAAGCTCAGTAGCTGTTAGCAATCAGTAGCACACTGCTGGTGAACGTCTGGTGTACTATGGAGCAGAAAGCTGACATTGTTGTTTCTTCTTACATCCAGTGGGTGGCGTAGGTTACTACAATCAATAGTAGCCACACAGGCACAACTTCAAGAAGAAAACAAATGCACCCAGTACAACATTTTCATTCTACTGGCTGAAAGGTTACCAGATGACTGTGCCAAAAGGCGTTTCCAAAATTGAGCAGAGTCCGAGCAGAGACTAAGTCTGAGCATGAGGAGAAGTTTTGACTACAAGTGTTACAAGTTTTGAAAAGAAATACATTAAGTCCTGCTTTCAAAATTAAAATGTAAGCAAAAGGCTTAAAAGTCTTGAGAACAAAAGATATGAAATCCTGTTTTCAGACTGAAAATGCTCTTGGATTATGGCAGAAAAATTCCACCAACCGAGCAGAGAGTTGATTTTCAGACCTTTAAGGTAGATAAGACGAGGGTATAAGATTGACGTCACATATAAGCATCAGCCGATCACAGATCTCCCAAAATTAAGGACATTGGTGCTAAATCAGTGCATCCCTAGCAACCACACATTTTATATACATGAATGGGGAGAGTGAGGAAATAAGTTCGTCTCCTTCCCACTCCTCCAAGTTTATGTTTATGTCTAAAGTATTACCATATAGACCAGTGTTTCTCAACCCTGGTCCTCACCGCCCCCCTGCTCTGCACGTTTTAGATGTGCCTCTATTCCAGAACAGCTGATTCAAATGATTGCATGACCATCAAGTACTGCAGAAGCCTGTTAATCACCCAGATATACAATTCTGGTGTGTGGCAGAAGAGAAACACCTAAAACATGCAGGACAGGGGGGCGGTGAGGACCAGGGTTGAGGAACACTGATATAGACCCCAATATTGATGACTCAATATATTGTTCTTACTGTATGTATATTACTCTGTGTGTGTGTGTGTGTGTGTGTGTAAAAGTGGAAATACATATATTTTAGTTTGTTCCTTTTTCATCTACTAAAGGGTATAATATGCATTTTTCTTTTATGTAGCTCAAAGTAAAGCAATAAATCATAAAAATTAGCCATATTATACTGAGAAACTTTTTTAAAAATGCCCATAAAGACAAATATGAGACTCATTTGCGAATCACACTCACATAAATCACGGTTCACCTTACAGTTCATGTGCAGGAGTCTGAAAAACAACAACCACCCCCCTGCACACCCCCACCACCCCCTCGGCTCCTGCTGACAGAGGACAATGACTCGCGGACTGCCTCGCCCTGCTGTTTGGCACTCGTCGCGTCAGCATGTCTGCGTCCGTCCCGATGCGTGCGCTGGACGCCACAGTTGATCACTGGCAACGCCACCCACGGCCCGTCCCGCAGCCGGCTGTCACAGGCGAGTGCCCACACACGGTCTGACTGTCTGAGCGAAGCGTCTGGGTAACCAAAACAGGCCCGAGAGCCAAGTCATCCCCGGTTAGCTGTCACTTCCTTTCATCTGCCTGCTCACTCACCGCTTTATTTGATCTGTGTGTGCACCGACCGCCTGACTCTTCCCCAGTTCGGCGCAGCCGCCCCTTTCGCTGCTCTGCGCTGCATTAAGCAGCGCGAATGAGGTCGCATTCCTGCACAAACTGAGGGTGACATTAAGATAAGCAGAGGCAGACAACAATACTAGAGGAAGCAACGCAACTCTTTCCAGGGCCAGCTTGATGCTTTACAGCCGCAGAATGAAACTACTACAAGCTATTTTATGAGCTGCTTTTTCTTTTTTGATAGAAAACACAATTCGACAAACAAGCAGGACGTTGGGCAGCTTCTTCTTCGTTGGTGATGGAGCACCCACTCTGCAGCAGAGTGAGGATCCGATATCCATGTCTTACCAGCCGGTCGGCTTGTTCCAAAGCGTATCTGCAAGCTAATGCTGTCCCTGCGGCTGAATGACACGCCCGCTGATCCAAAATGGCAGCTAGTGTCTCGCGGTGCCTAACGCTACCAGTCATTTAGGAACAGCTGCAGCTCCTGTAACCAGACAGGCTCTTCGCTTCATTATCGGCAAGTAATACTTTATTAGACAAGTGGAATCGGGTTACTCATAAAGTTTACAATTTAAGTTGGGTTTTTTTGTAGAAAGTCACAATGAAAACGATTCTGCTTTTACTCTGTAGGCCAGTTAGGGGGTGACAGTAATATGGTTGAATTTAAATGTGGCGGAAGTTGAAAATATCCTGAGGAAACTCATATTCTTATGTTCTTCATTCTAAGCAATACAGAAATTAAGTGACTTCCACACTGTACTGGACATGCACTGATCCACTTTTTTCACTTCCGATATCGATATCTGAGGGTCAGTATCGGCTGATTCCGATCGGATACAAAATAGCTAAAATGACTTAAAACTTTTCTATTTAAGTCATTTTATTATTTTATCATTTGATAACTCAGCACCAGTGCAGTAGACTTTAAAACACCAACAGCTTCACAAGCTTGGTCAAACATGGAAAAACAACAATTTAGTTTTTTCAGTCAGTGCCATTAGGGTAACAGCCAACCTAAAATAAATGATAAAGAAACTGAAACTGACAAAAACAATAGACTGACTACTTTGGTCAAACATGTAAAAAATAAACTGCAACAAACCTTTCAAATGATTCAGAAAGTGCAATTAGGAATTCTAAATATAATATAAAATAAATAATAAAGCATGATGTCATTCAGAGCATAGAATTAGACAGAATAGATCATTGATCAGGTACATTATCACCGATACCCAATCTAGAATTTTTTTCAATATCGGCACCGATACAGATATTAATATTGGATCAGTGTCTCTCAGCTGCTCACCTGCCCGCGTGTCGTCGTTGTCCAGCAGGGGGATGTAGTCCGTCTTCCCCACTGTCTCCTTCACCTGGTCGTCGAACGCCTCCGCCTCCAGCTGGGCCATGAAGTCCCTCTCCACCTTGCTCTCAATGCCAGGCTGCGGGGGGCTGTCGGTCAGCGCATCGCTTAGACTCAGGTCTAACTCTGCCATAGCTGGAGGACAAGGGGACACAGGTGAACAGGTCAGAAAGTCATGCAAATGAGAAAACGATCAAATAAGTGAGAAGGCTCGAGGAAACACAGTGGGGTTGTTATGAAGCTGGGACTGAAGAGTTTCAAACCCAGAGACAAACTGAGGCTGATAAGCTAAAGAGAACGCAGGCTGTTGGGCCTAGCATGCTAGTTGGTGAACTGCAATAGCACATTCCTCCACTAGGGGGAACATATTCACCTGGGATTCTAAATAGAAACAACATGAAACAACCTGTATGGAGGTATGGATGAAAGAAATAAAAGTTGTATATCATAATTATGAGACAGTGACTCATTATTATGACATGACTCCAAATTAAGAGATAAATGTTTACTTTTTTCATCAAAGTGGCAGAAATGGCTTTTCATATGGAGGTGAATGGTCATTTATAATGAGAATAATATAGACAGCAAAATGTAGTAATTTTATTTTGCCATCATTATTGTTATTAAAATTAATATTTATTACCATGATAATATTAATTACTCTAATAATTACAATATTTAATAATTATTATAAAAATCTCAAATTATAAGTATAATTATGAATAAACAATTAACAGTAATAATTGTTATTGTTAACTATTAAAAGAAATTAATACCAAAAATTATTATTAATAGGAAGAGAAAATGTAGAAGAAAATGAAAGACAGGAGAAAGAAGCAAATGAAGAAAATGGAAACAAAGAATTGAGTATTTTAGAGATATTCAGAAAACAGCACACAATTATATAATTTTAGATAATGGATTTGTGCATTTTTATGCATATTTCATCAAATATACATAACTACTAAGAGAAATAACCTGATATAGAACAGCTAAGTGAATGGCTACAAAATGGTAACATAAGGACATGAGACAGAGGAACAAATTGACCCATTCTGGTCTGTCTTCACATTTAGACAATCATAGCTCATCACTAACTGCTGAACGCACGAGCAGGTCGCACACATATGATGTCATTTTCTAATATCTGATTATCATTAGCTGCTGAGTGCTACCAGTATCCAGTGGCGCAACTACACATTATTCAGGTGGATGCGAAAACATAAATTTCCCCCCAAGGAAGGTTGAGAGAGTGTGGAAAACATACGCTCACCCCCCGACGACGATACGTGAAGGGTAAAACTCTCTACATTTACCTCGTCACGTGCACGAGGTGAAGGAGTGTAAGGCGGGCTGAAGCAAGCCACACGGGGCAAGGACCGGACCCGATGCACTCACGGTCCAGGCCCGATGAAGTGAACCGCCCGGGTACACAAACGCTGTCCAGGTGAGACCCTTCCATCATTTTTTTTTTCTTTAATGTTTTTCTTTAATGTTTTTTTTTTCCTTTTTTTTTTTGCATGGACAAAGACTGATAAAATTTTGGGCCCAACGTAATTTTTTTTTTTTTTTTTTGTGCGCACGGAACCTTATTTTTGATCGCCTAATTATGGACTATTCGTTGGACAATTATTAATAATTAAATATTTCCTTTTGTTTTGATTCATAGGCAGTGGCGCCAAAAACGGGTATGCACTGTATGCAACGCATACAGTGGGGCGCTGAACAAGAGGTAATGCCAGAGTTAATAATAAAATAATAAAGACTTTGTGGTATTCTCATTTAGTGACGTAATTAAAGTAGTTGTGCTACCACTCCTATGCCACTAGAGGCATAGGAGGCCTGAAAAGGTGCATCTAAGGAGCAGATTTAGAAGTACACAGAAAGCTACAGAACTTGTTAAAAACTGTGAGATGTGTTGAAGTAAATAAAAGACAGAAGTTCAAATACATGCTGAGAGTGAAACTCCTTAAAGATGAAGCTATATCCCAGATTTCAAAAGAAAATAAAAACGGGAGACCATAGATAATGTAGGAGATGGCGCCCCCCTTCAGTTCCGGAGTGCATTGGTCCCATTTCCAAATAAGGTGCGAGACTGACAGTGGTCTGTCCCCGACCCTTTCTGCTTACTGCAGCAATTTCCTTCTCAAACAACAAGGTAATGGTGGGTAACTATGGCAACCAGTGACAGTTTAAAAGCCCGCCTACTCTTTCTGGAGTCAGGTTGCGCATGCATCTGCCATGTTAATAAAATCTGTCAGAGAACCCCAGTCTGAATATCAAACAAAACTCCAAAGGCAGAATTCTGACATCACCAGCGATTATATAAGCTTGTCACATCCATCTACCTTCATCACAACCTGTTAGCAGCAGTTGTCAATAGTTTCTCGTGAGAAGTTACTTAGCAGTACATAGGATTTTCAACTTTGAAATCTACTGAATTTCTAGAGAAGTGATCTATCTTAGAACCACAAGCAAAAGTTAAAATGGAGTCCAACCAAGACGTAGCATCCAACAACATCGTCGAGAGGGAAGTACAGCCACCCAAGCCACCCAAGCGCAAGAAGAAGATGTCATTTGCAGTCTGGTGGGCGCTGCACCCATCTGAGGAGCTTAAGATGTCAACTGAAAATATGGAACAGCAGGACTCTTCATTGGTGACTGAAAATGGTTCAAGCGCCAAAGCACTGCAAAAAGTGGATCAAAAAGGGGACGGACAGCCACCAGAGAGTGAGTCCAACGAGAACAACCAGGTACCATTTAAAACCTGTTCGGAGGAAGACATCCTCACTGACCAAGAGATTTCTGCTGGAAATATCGAAAAGCAGAACAATTCACTGGTCAGTGCAGAAGAGTCCATCGTTGGAGTGCAGGAGACAGTCGACACAACAGAGAAAGAACAGCCCTCTAAGTCTGAGGAACAGCCACCAAAGACGAGGCGCAACAAGATGAAGGTGAAAATGATACCGTGGTCCATGTGGTTGGAGAAACATCCCCCCGCTGAACTAAGGACTTCAGGTGAAAGTACTGGAACGGAAGATGATTCACTGGTTACCGAACAGGAATCGATCTCCGTACTGAACGAGACACCAGAGAAGGAAGAGTCCTCTAAGTCCAGCACTGAAAATGTTATCAATCAGGACACTTCTCTGCCTGAAGAAGAAGGTGATCAGGAGGATTCCTTTAAGACAGAGATTTGCAAAGAGGAACTTGTTAGTTTTACATCAGAGCCGGTGACCGAAAAGAAATCCGTCACAGAAACACAGAAGAAAGTCGACCAGAAAGGGGAAAAACAGTCAAAGACTAAGCGCAACAAGAAGACCCCACTGTTGTGGAAATCTTTCCCCCAGTCAGATGCTTGCATCGATCTGACGTTTTTTACTGAAAACAGTGACATCAATGACGGTCCTCTGCCGGAAAAGCAAAATTATCAGGGAGCTTTTTCCAGCAGCGGAAAAAAGACGTTGTGGAAAATGCTCCCCAACTCAGAACCTTGCATAGATCTAAGTTTTTTTGCTGAGAACATTGAAACCAAAAATCTTTTAATGCCAGCTGAAGAACGTGATGAGGTAGCTTCCTTGGAAAAGGACAGTTATTCTAAGAACACTGCAACACAGCTAGTCACCAAAGAGGAATCCATCTTGAAACCGCAGGAGACACTGGATCAAAAAGGGGAGAAACATCCATCTCTGGGAAAACCCATGGACAACATCCAAACTGGAAACTTAACTGAGGTTCCTGTTAATCAAACAGAAGAAAATGTTCAAGGAGAGAGTTTAATTGAAATTCAGAATTTGCCCCACTCTCCAGAAAAGACAAGTCAAGCAACATTTTTCTGTGAAGCCAAATGTAAGGAGTCTGAATTGGAACATATGGAAGTACAAAAATACTTAATGAAACAGCTCGATGACATGTTCGATGTAAATCAGAAACTAAACGCTAAACTTAAACAGCAAAAAGATCTGACGAGGAAATTACTCTCAGAGACAAGACAGAGGAAGACGACTATGGTTTCTGTTCAGACTCAGAGTGAATCACAAGACACCTCACCAGTTTACCAATGTGCATCAGTCCAAACGGAGGTGGATGTGCCTGAAACCAGGTGTCACTTGAAACCAGTCGGTCAATCAATATCAACGCAAACGGAGATGGATGTGCTGGAGAACAGATGTCACTTGGAATCAGTTTATAAAACCATTTCAACCCAAACTGAGCTTTCTTTATTGCTTATAAAACAACCCTCTGAAACACAAATGAACAGACATCAGGATTGGCAGACAAAAGTATTCAAGAGATCTACAGGTGAGAACACCAGAGAGTCAGCAACGAGAGATGCATCTGAACTGAAAGTTGTCAGTAATGAAACCATTTCTGGTGACAACATTGAAAAAGAAGTTTCAGTACTGGAAATAGTTGGAGAACAGGCAGAGGCCATCAAAAACAAAATTAACACGAATGAAACAGCCATCGGTGAAGCGCTGCAGGTAATAGAAGAAGAAACGGTCTCCATAGCACAACCAAATGGAGACCACGAGGATGAGAAAAAGCGTTCAAAGAAATCTAAACGTAAGATCAAGAGAAAGGTAGCAACGAGAGATGTATCTGAACTGGAGAGCCTCTGTAAGGAAAATGTTTCTGGTGACAACATTGAAAAAGAACTTTCAGTACTGGAAATAGTTGGAGACCAGACAGAGAGAATCGAAAACGAAATTCACATGAATGAAACAGCCATCGGTGAAGCACTGCAGGTGACAGAAGAAGAAACGGTCTCCATAGCACAACCAAATGGAGACCACCAGGATGAGAAAACGCGTTCAAAGAAATCTAAACGTAAGATCAAGAGAAAGGCAGCGACCAGAGATGCATCTGAACTGGAGAGCCTCTGTAAGGAAAACGTTTCTGGAACAAACATAGAACAAGAAGTTTCTACAATAGAAACAATTGGGGATCAAACAGCCTTTGTTAAAAACGATATTCATACAATAGAAACAGAGATCTCTAAAGAACAGCAGGTCACTGAAGAAAAAACTGAACTGGAAACTGTTGTAAACCCGATTGAGACAGATCAACACTTGATCCCAATCACGAAGACAACAAATCCTGATTCGGAAAAAATACCTGACATCCCCCAGATTGCTCCTGAACAAACTGAGACAATAGTTGGGACAGTTTCAGAAGACGTAACACGTAAAGTTGATGTAGTTTTCACAGAGGAGGAGTGTGGTCTAATGGAAAAACAGGAATCACCGCCTCCACAAACAAAGGTTACATTAAACAAAGATGAAGTCCAAACACCACCTCAGGAATTAGAACCTCAATCAGCTGATGAGTCAGCTGAGGAGAACAATATTTCTGAAGAAGAAGAGAACCCCAAGAAAAAGACATCACTGTGGAAGCGAATCAAAAAGGCTCTAACTCCACCACTTCTACACCAGTTCAAAAACAGATGCAAAGTCCATCCAGCATGAATGGATGCTGGACATCAGTTGACTTTAGACATCAACTGATCTCTGAAGTAGATTAGATTTAAAAGGGGGGCGGGGCCACGTGTGTTTTGGTGATTGGCAGTAATTGGTAAAAAAGCTACTGTGATTTTTGATTGGACATTTTAATATTCAAAAGACAGGACTGCACGGCGTGAAATGTCTCGCTGTGCAGGTGTGGGTTCACTCCGGGTGCTCCGGCTTCCCCCACGTTCAACAACGTCAATACTCATCTTCATCCATTGTAAGATGTTCATTTCTAATTCAAAACAGAAAATCAGAAAACCACATTTTTTAATTAGAGGGAGATTTAGAGAAAGAAAATGTAAACAACGTGGAACAAAAAGACATTTTTAAAGTCTAAACTGATACAAACTGGGAAAAATTTAGAAAACGATTTATCTTTCTGGGCAATCAAACAATCGATCAATCAATCACATTTTATTTGCATAGCACATTTCAGCAGCAAGGCATTTCTAAGTGCATTACATCATAAAAGTCATGTGGCATTAAATAAACAACAAAAACATGTGAAACGTATGTATGTATTTATATACATACATACATATACATACATTTATATACATAGNTCAAATACATGCTGAGAGTGAAACTCCTTAAAGATGAAGCTATAACCCAGATTTCAAAAGAAAATAAAAACGGGAGACCACAGATAATGTAGGAAATGGCGCCCCCCTTCAGTTCCGGAGTGCATTGGTCCCATTTCCAAATAAGGTGCGAGACTGACAGTGGTCTGTCCCCGACCCTTTCTGTTTGCTGCAGCAAAGTCCTTCTCAAACAACAAGGTAATGGTGGGTAACTATGGCAACCAGTGACAGTTTAAAAGCCCGCCTACTCTTTCTGGAGTCAGGTTGCATCCGCCGTGTTAATAAAATCTGTCAGAAAAGCCCACTCTGAATATCAAACAAAACTGTGATGTCACAATGTGACATCACAATATAACTCCAAAGGCAGAATTCTGACATCACCAGCGATTATATAAGCTCCTCACATCCATCTACCGTCATCACAACCTGTTAGCAGCCGTTGTCGATAGTTTCTCGTGAGAAGTTACTTAGCAGTACATAGTAGGATTTTCAACTTTGAAATCTACTGAATTTCTAGAGAAGTGATCTATCTTAGAACCACAAGCAAAAGTTAAAATGGAGTCCAACCAAGACGTAGCATCCAACACCATCGTCGAGAGGGAAGTACAGCCACCCAAGCCACCCAAGCGCAAGAAGAAGATGCCATTTGCAGTCTGGTGGGCGCTGCACGCATCTGAGGAGCTTAAGATGTCAACTGAAAATATGGAACAGCAGGACCCTTCGTTGATGATTGAAAATGGTTTGAGCGCCAAAGCACTGCAAAAAGTGGACCAAAAAGGGGACGGACAGCCACCAGAGAGCGAGTCCAACGAGAACAACCAGGTACCATTTAAAACCTGTTCGGAGGAAGACATCCTCACTGACCAAGAGATTTCTGCTGGAAATATCGAAAAGCAGAACAATTCACTGGTCAGTGCAGAAGAGTCCATCG